GGGAGGGGGAGGGGAGGAGAAGACAGGAAAGGAGAGGAAAGGAAAGGAAAGGAGAGGAGAGGAAGAAAGCAAGCAAGCAGAACAAGTGATTCAAACTAACACATTCATAGGAGAGTCGACCTGATTTTGAAGAAACCATATGTGCTCAGAAGAGTTCATGTATACTGACTTACACTGACAACACAAGCACTATTAGTCTAATACCAAACTGAACTAACTTCATATTGCAAGTCTATTCTATTAGATCCTTTGGAATACTTACGGATTCTAAGTCTTTAATATCTTTCTCTAGTTGCTTATTTTGCTCATTCATATTCATAATTATATCAAACACAGACTGCCTCGGATGCAATGTTCGATCAAATTGGTGGTACATGTTTCTCCAAAACCTTTATGGCCAAAAAAAAAAAGTTTCAATAAAACATATTTGAGAAAAATCAAATATAAATATTTCAATAATGCCAACTTACTTAAAATTGAAAGACACTGTATTTGGCTCCAGAACTGTAAAGCTCTGCGACTTGGAACTGTAGAGAGGATTTAAGTATTTCTTCTGGTCTTCCAAAAGAAAAGGCCACAGGGAGTAAGTCTTCTCTTTCAACCTCAAGGTAATGAGAAAAGCATAAAGATCTTTCTATAGATGCAAGGTATTCGTGCTAGTTACCATTCCTATAAATCAGGCAATCGCTTCCAAAGCAGTCTGACCTCCCATCTCAGAATTCTGTATTCCCTTTGCCCTTTTCATTCATAATTATGTGATAAAGTCATGTTTCTTGAACGTACTTTCTTTGAGAGGGACCTCTCTCAACTCACACAATTTCAAACACTTGGTCTCTGCTCCCCCTGCTTCAAGTCACCACATGTGCACACGAACAGGACACTGACTTACCTCACTGTCTGGCCCTACTCTCCACCTGTCCCTGGGCTGTAGGCAAGTGTTACAGGGCAAGAGCCCGTGTAAGTAGAAGTGGGTGCGAAAAGGGAGATGGGTAAATCAGGACACTGTGCAAGAGTTTTAAACGCCAGTTAAGTTGCAAACCTAAGAGTAGGTGGGCCAGTCAGGCTCGGTGGCTCAGCCTGTAATCCCGCGCTTTGTGAGGCTGAGGTGAGTGGACTGCCTGAGCCCGCGGGCTCGAGACCTGCCTGGGCAACTTGGTGAGACCTCATCTATAATAAATCAAAAACTAGCCAGGGTGGTAGCGCGTGCCTGTAATTCCGGGTACTTGTAAGGCTGAGGCAGAAGGATCTCTGGAGCCCAGCAGGTCGAGGTTGCAGTGGCCCGGAGTGGCCACTGCACTCCAGTCTGGGTGACAGAGTGAGACTCCAACTCAAAAAAAAAAAAAAAAAATTGGCTGAGGTGAGTGGATTGACTGAACCCGAGGGTTCGAGACCTGCCTGTGGCAGCGAGACCTCATGTCTACAATAAATCAAAAAATCAGCCAGACGTGGTAGCGCATGCCTGTAATTTCGGCTACTTGGAAGGCTGAGGTGGAAGGATCGCCGGAGCCCAGCAGGTCGAGGCTGCGGTGGCCGGGAGCGGCCACTGCACTCCAGTCTGGGCGACAGAGTGAGACTCCAACTCAAAAAAAAAAAAAAAAAAATTTAAGAGTAGGTGGGCAGAGGTCAGATGGTTACAGACAGTTCATTTACCAGGTTAACACAATGCAGGGATCCAGGGGAAAAGTAGAGAAGCTTCTCATTCTTCCATGACCCCTATGGTGACCCAGAGGTGTGTTCCTGGAGAACAACCCCTACGAAAGATTCACTTTTACTCCATCCTCCCATCTTTTGAGAATGCTTGGCACTACCTGAGAAGAACAGCTTTGCCTAAACAGCTCTGTACTCCAGACGAGTCACCGGCTCCAGCTGGAATAAGCAACTGTCAATCAGTGCAGCACAGAGCTCGAGTCTTCGCATTCTGTGACTCGTCCACCTCCACCATACCCTATCAGTTGCTGGACCCTCACCCAGCCTTAAATGCCCCGCATGTTCTCAGTTCCGCTGTCAATTCCCTTGGGAATGGGAGCACATGGCTGTCCCCAACCTATCACCAGACTCCACTTCTCCCACGTGTTCCTTGGATGTTCAGGAGCCTAGACCTGCTCTTCATGGCCTCCTGAGAAACCTCCACTCAGAAGTCCACCTGAAAACATCCACAGGCCCTCTCAGACCTACCCCAGAGGTGTCCCTTGCATCAACATGGAAGAAACGTACCCCTAAAGACTGGCCAGGAAAGAACATGAACGAGGGTCAAGTACAGTGCCGCAGAGCTTATCTGAGACGCTACTCAGGGACAGACACACGGTAGCCAACACAGGCACATATATTTTCCCCAAAGAATTGTTTGTTTAGAAACGTGAGAAGAGCTCTAAGCCTCAATCTTCAAATAAACCAACAGTTAAAAACCTTTTACCACTTTAAAACTAGCGACCCATACTTTCTTTTTTTTTTTTTTAAGTCGGAGTCTCACTCTGTCGCCCAGACTGGAGTGCAGTGGCCGCTCTTGGCCACCGCAGCCTCGACCTGCTGGGCTTTGGCGATCCTTCTGCCTCCGCCTTCCAAGTAGCTGGAACTACAGGTGTGCGCTACCATACCCGGTTAATTTTTTTGACTTATTGTAGAGACGAGGTCTCGCCAAGTTGCCCAGGCGAGTCTCGAACCCATGGGCTCAGGCAATTCACTCACCTCGGCCTCCCAAAGCGCTGGGAATACAGGCTGAGCCACTGAGCCGGCCGTGACCCATACTTTCTGGGAAATGAAATAATGTAAAGTTATCTCTGCTCTAAAATACAGATACAGACTTAAGAGGAGCATGAGGAGAGCTTCCAGAATGTTGGCAACATTTCTCACTCTGGGTGTTGGTTACAGAGGTCCGTGATTTGGCGAGATTTACTGAGCTTCATGCTTTTGTCATATGAACTTTTCTACAGGTATGCCGCAATTCAAAACACATTTTAAAATGTGCTTTTACTATTATCCTGGCCGTGCATAGTGGCCACACCTGTAATCCCAGCACTTTGGGAGGCAGAGGGCAAGAGGACCGCCTGAGCCCAGGGATTTGAAACTGGCCTGGGCAATTTGGTGAGACCTTGAATCTATAATAAATAAAAGAAAATGAGCCAGGCATGGTGACATGTGCCTGTAGTTCTAGCTCCTTGAACTCAAAAAAAAAAAACAAAAAAACAATTATTATCCTGAGGTGATGGAGATTAGGACATTTAGTTTCAGAAATACAGACAATAAAATCTTCACAATAAAATTCAGCTCTATTTCGTTTCATCATGATATTTTACTAAGTTTCAACCACGTTAGACTTCCACTAAATAGGATTCCCTAAAAGGAGACCCTTTTAATCAAATCATCTTACTTGAGTTCTTCTCTTTCTTTCTGACAATTTCCAAGGAAGTTTCCAAATTGGCATGAATGAATATGTTCGTGGATCTGAAGAAGAAATGCCTCATTGAATTCGAAGGCTTGTGGAAACTGTTCGGACAAATGCCAAACACATTCCAAGAACTGCGTAAACACTGGTGAGACTTCCTTCGGGTCACCATCCAAATGGCCACACCTAACCCCCCCCAGAAAGTATAAGCTTTTAAAAATGCCTCTGAACAAAGTCCATCATTATTCAGGTATTGTTAAACATATGTACAAAAAGTAATCCTAAACGCTGCTACATTAGCACAAGAAAAACAATCTTTTTATTGAAACCATTTATATCTATGAATTTTTAACCACAATTTTAAAGGACACGTTACCGTTTCCAAATATTGTAATCCAGCCAAAAAGAAAGGTAGCAAGTAGCCATGGAAATTAACAAAGGTATTAAAATTGAAAAAAAAATTACAAGCCAGGCTCGGTGGCTCAGCCTGTAATCCCAGCACTTTGGGAGGCTGAGGTGAGTGGATTGCCAGAGGTGAGTGAGGTGATGAGCCCATTGGTTCGAGACCCGCCTGGGCAACTTGTTGAGACCTCATCTCTACAATAAAATAAAAAATTAGCTGGGCGTGGTAGCGCGCGCCTGTAGTTCCAGCTACTTGGAAGGTTGAAGCGGAGGGATCACCGGCGCCCAGCAGGTCGAGGCTGCGGTGGCCGGGAGCGGCCACTGCACTCCAGTCTGGGTGACAGAGTGAGACTCCAACTCAAAAAAAAACAAAAAAAAAAAAACCACAAAAATTACAGAAAAAAGGAAACCTGTCTTCACATAAAATACAGTACAAAGCCATAACAGTCTCACCTCCCACCACACATGTGAGTTCATGAGGAACAGAAGCATTCTGGCACTCTAGCTGTTTTCTAATTATGCAAAATATATAAATGTATAATGGTGACTCACCTCTCTGAAAATTTATGTCCAAAAGAGATCCAGTCCTTTTCTATCAAAACCTTAACAAGAAAAAAGTAAAATCCACTTATGACTATTTTCCGTTGTTTTGTTTAGAATGGATCAAATTCTTTTTGTTTAAAAATAGCATTTACATGTGTGTTCTGGCTCACTCCTCTCTCGAGTTATGACAGACTCCATACAGGCCTCCCAGTCTCCACTCCCAGTCCCCTCTGCCTTTTAATTTATGGCTACAAACAAAATAAAATAAAACAAAACAAAAATACAGGCAAAAGACAGCCAGAACCTTGATTAGAGGCAGCATAAAGAGTGAAGATATATTTTTAAAAAGTAGTCTTGTGGGGCAATCCTCTTTTGGGTCCCCTCCCACTACCAGGAGGTTTCCTGTCTTCTAATAAATTCCTACTTACTCAAAAAAAAAAAAAATAGTTTTATGACTTAAGTTATTTCGGTTGAATTTATTACATTTTAAGTAAAAAGTGCATGTTATAAAGCAGCATTATATTCAAGTGTTTTGCTTACAAAGATGATATGCCATGGAAGGCAGGCTAAAAAAATATAAGCCAAGAAGGCTAACACAGGGGAATGCTGATGTATACTGGGGGGATGTTCAAACCTCTGTCTTACTTATACCCTACTTACACAATACTTTTTTCAAGAAAAAGTAGATGATAAAAAGCCCAATGAAAATGAATGTCTATGTTCAAATCCAAATGTTAATAGCCTCCCTGTGAGTGGACTGCCTTTATCTGTTTCCGTCACAGTTTCTCTACTTAGCAACTCTATTGAAATCACAGATTTCTAGCTTTTTCCATCTAAAGGAAACACATCTTCTTAGTATTTAGTGTGCCTTAATTTCATTATCAGACCACCAGGCACATTATTTTCACAGTGTCAAATCTGCTGTCCTAGATTCTCTGATTTTGTCTTAAACCTCTCTGGTTTCAGCATAAGGCCATATAGTGACATGGTCACAGAGGTTGTTCCCGGAGTACTCACACAGGCTTGAATCCTGGTTCCATCCCTTCAACACCTATGTGCCCTGGGCACTCAGTCCTCGGGCTGGAGCTGGATTTCATTCTGGGACCTCTGACACTCTTCTAACAGCTGTGTCTACAACCTAACTCGGTATCTTCTCCCTAAGCGTGTCCCCTTCTGACTCAGTAACAGCAACAGATTGAGAACCCAGAAAACAGCCTCGGAGAGAGGACTCCTCCCTTCTGCTCCATACCCAACCCCTGCCCAGCCCTCCCTGACTCCCCTCCTTATGTGTGTTCCACCTTTGTTCCGGCTCACTCTTCTCTTGAATTATCATGACAGCTTCCACATGGGCCTCCCAGCGTCCACACCCACTCCCCTCTGCCTTCCTGACACCATGCCATCTTTCAAAAGCAGACCTCAGCAGCACTAGCCTCCTTTCCCACAGGCCCTCACTCTGCCACCTTCATCTTCCTCTGAAGTTCATCCGCCATATACGCCCTGCAGTCACCTGAAGGAGCTCCTCTGCCTTAGAGTCATGCTGTCCCTGCTGCCTGAGAAGCTCTCACATCCATCCCAGTCCTTCATGACACGACTTTATCTTGATGCTAACAATTAAGCCGAACGTGGTGACGACAATCCTCCCTCTCTTGGAGTTCAGGGTAAGCTGAACTCCACTTTCTTATTAGCAGCACTCGTCTGACCTGTCCCAGACCCCATGTGTTAATAGCACAAATAACGGTGATGGAAAGGGACTGGTGATTTTACAGCTTCCCTGGCCTTAAGACGGACAGCATTGCGTTTAACAATTCTAAACTTACGAAAACATTCTAACATCTCTTCATTTACGTTACTCATCGTGAGTTAAGATATAACTTTTGAAAGCATAAGTTAATCTGATCATCTGTCTAAACACAAACACAAAACAAGAGCTAGCACTTTATCTTTATAAAGCAAAAAATCTTCAACTAGAAATTTAATCTTCAGACATGAAACACGCCTAAATACTAGCACACTCACAAATGAAGGTATTTTAAATAGTTTCCTTCAAAATATAATTTTTATTTTTTTGAGTTGGAGTCTCACTCCGTCGCCCAGGCTGGAGTGCAGTGGCACACTCACGGCCATCCCAGTGTCAACCTGCTGGGCTCCGGCGATCCTTCCACCTCAGCCTTCCAAGCAGTCAGAACTCTGGGGGCACACTACCATGCCCAGCTGATTTTTTATTTATTGTAGAGACGAGGTCTCGCCAAGTTGCCTGGGCTGATCTCGAACCCTCAGGCAATCCACTCGCCTCAGCCTCCCAAAGTGCTGGGATTACAGGCTGAGCCACCGAGCCTGGCCCAGAATATAATTTTTAAGTACTCTTATTTGTGTCTTGTTTTACCATGTTAGATATATTTGTTAGATAAAGATGAAAGAGAAAATACTGAATATTTTTATTGCAACATTTTACAGAAAGAAAAAAAAACCTTTTAAATCTAAAGTTTTTTGCCAAAGAGGTGGCAAAAATGGAAATTAGTCTAATGCAAGGTTTCTCATCCTCAGCAGTGCTAATGCTATGGGCCAGGCAATTCTTTGCTGTGGGGTGGACCTGTGCCTTGTGGGATGTTCAGCAATATCCCTGGCCTCTACGGGAGATGCCAGTCTCATCCCTTCCTTTAGAGCAGCACTGTCTCCTAACACTGGTTCTCTGGGCATAAAGTTACTCCCACTTCAGAACCACTGATCTAGCCAGCTGATCCTTACCATGAATCCACTGACCGTCCTGTAGTAGGGGTCCAACAGAAGAGAGCCTAGGGAACACACCTGGGAAGTCCTGTCCCAGCCATCCGAACAGTGGACCAACACACTTGCACTTTCACCTACGACTGCCTGAAAAGAAAAAGCACAGACTCAAACTCTAGCTGAGTTCCTTTTAGGTACACCATTAAGTTCCACTTACTCAAAAACCATTCTAGCAGCTGGTATTACATTGTAAAGAAGACTTATGCCTGCAATGGTAATGCTGTCACAGCAGAATTTCCAAAAAACAAAACAAGATAACAACATAAACACAAAGCAAACAAAAATGCTGCTTCAAAGTTTTTAGGAATCTCTTTTAAGTCTCTACATTAAGTGCTATAAAATTTTTTTTTTTTAAGACTCAGGGTCGGCCGGGCTCAGTGGCTCAGCCTGTAATCTCAGCGCTTTGGGAGGCCGAGGTGAGTGGATTGCCTGAGCCTGCAGGTTCGCGACCCACCTGGGCAACTTGGCGAGACCTCAACCCTACAATAAAATAAAAATTAGTCGGGTGTGGTAGTGCGCGCCTGTAGTTCCAGCTACTTGGAAGGCTGAGGCGGAAGGATTACCGGAGCCCAGCAGGGCGAGGCTGTGGTGGCCGGGAGCAGCCACTGCACTCCAGTCTGGGTGACAGAGTGAGACTCCAACTCAAAAAAAAAAAAAAAAAAAAAAAAAGAGTCAGGGTCTCACTCTATGGACCAGCCTGAAGTGCAGTGGCATCACCACAACTCATGGTAGCCTCAACCTACTAGGCTCAAGCAATTTTCAGGTCTCAGTCTCCCAGGTAGCTGGGACTGAGTGCCGCCACACCTGGCTAATTATTTTTTGTAGGTACAAGGTTTTGCTATGTTGCCCAGGTTGATCTTGAACTCCTAGCCTCAAGCAACCCTCTTGCCTCAGCCTCCCAAAGTGCTAGAAATACAGGCATAAGCCCCCGCACCTGGCCTATATTTTTAAAGTTTCAAACAAGCCGGGCTCGGTGGCTCAGCCTATAATCCGGCGCCTTTAGGAGGCTGAGGTGAGTGGATTGCCTGAGCCCGCGGGTTCGAGACCCACCTGGGAAATTTGGCGAGACCTCATCTCTACAATAAATCAAAACTTAGCCGGGCGTAGTAGCACGCGCCTGTAGTTCCGGCTACTTGGAAGGCTGAGGCGGAAGGGGCACCAGTGCCCAGCAGGCGAGGCTGGGTGACCGGGAGCGGCCATTGCACTCCAGACAGAGTGAGACTCCAACTCAAAAAATAAAAAAATTTAAAAAATTTAAAAAATAAAGTTTAAAACAAAAAGAAGCTCATTAAAAAGGTAAAGAATGATAAAAGTTATCTGGCTGGAATAGATAGCAATCCCAACAGAATAAATTCACCTCTTCCCAACTAACATAAAACCCAAATCCAGAAGACAAATAGTTACTTTGGCCAAGAAGATTGCAGCGTCCATGACAGCTTTGATGTGGCGAAGCCATCCTGAGCTCTCTAGACCGGAGTAGAAATCATTGACAGAAAGCCCTTTGGTTCCATTGACTAGAAGAAGGGTAAAACACTTCAGTGAGAACAGGGATAGAGTCTCCATGTGTCTTTTTCAAGATCCCTCGAGGTGAGTGAACTGAGAAAGACAAGGACAAGATAAACAGGCAACCTTCTTTATAAATGAGAAGATGCCATCAAAAGCTCAAGCATGGATTTCTGGGTGTATTTTTGTGTTATTCCCTGCTTCAAAAGAATGTCTCAATCTCAAAGAAAATTGTAGCACAAGTATTTAATCTTACATTTTAATTTTTAAAATTCCATTCCATGACTAGAAAAATACCTTGCTAGTTAAATGGAACTAATATTACCATACATTAATCTTCACTGCACTAATTACTCAAGAATATCTATCTAACAAAGCCATGTTTGTGAAATCCTTACAACTAAACTGTCTAGTAGAGCAGCCACTAACCAAAAGGGGCAACTGAATGTTTGAGTGTGGCTTGTCCAGCTGAAATGGACTTTAAGTGTGAAACACGCACCCATTTCCAAGATTTGGTGAAAAGAAAAATATCTCACTACCAATAAAGAATTGTATACAGATTCCATGTTACAATAATGTTTGTAACACATTAGATAAGGGTATTATTCAAATTAATTTCACCTGTTTCATTTTCTTTTTTAAATGTGATGCTAAAAAGTTCTAAATTACATGTGTCTGGCATTAGATTTCTATTGGACAAAGCTGCCTAAAAAGTAAGCAATGATCATACCTTCTAATAATTTCTGAAGGCTAGATCTCATGACGTGGATATTTTCAATTCCAACAAATTGAAATCTAATATTAGAATAGTTGTCTTCATTTTCATAACCTTTTCCAGCTGCTCTGTTGGCCATTGCATTCAGCTAAGATTAAAAATTTTAGAAAGTTAGAGACACATTACTTTTCTGTTTTACATTCATTTACCAAAATGTCATGAAAACACTTATAAGCCATATTTTAGCTAGGAGAGAGTTTAAAGGAGTTCATCGAAACTGAGTAAGCTGCCATTTTTTAGTAAGTAACAATGTCGCATATGCTATTAATAGTAAAGAAGGATACTGTAAAGTTATGATTTCTACACAATAGAGAGGTCCAGACAAGACATTCCCACCAGGCCATGGAGCCAATTCACTGCCCACATGTTTGTAAAATTTCAGAATTAAAAGGAAAGAGATGTCTCCTACCTAAATCCTACATGACTCAGCACTGAGCACAGCCTAGAGCTGTTCTTATACAGAATGAATCTGAGCCTCACTTCAGAACCAGCCTAGAGCACCGGACCCTTCAGAAAGCCACAAGGACTCTGAAAATCAGGTTTGAAATGTGCTTCGGATCACCTGAGGTTTTCCATACTCGAGATTACTGGAGGCCCACACATCACATAACATGGCATGTGATCTGCTATCCTGATATAGCTCTGAGAACTGGGCCCAAAACAAAATTGTCTCTAGGGAGAAACAGACTGCCCTAGGCCCGCCGTCAGTTATCAGATCAAAATGTGATCAGAGGTTTCCTTAGGATTTGGCATGCTTAATTCTTTTGACTAGCATTTCATAGAGTACGCTGCTATACTTTACTAAAAGTTCTTATGAACTTGGCTGAATCAACCTCAACTGGAAGAAAAAGCAGCCCTTCATTCAGGGGGGCGGGAGCCCCAGGCTGGCAACAAGTACAGTTAACTGGTACCTGCTGACTCTCTAGTTACTTCAGCACCTAAAGTAAAGTTCAGGGTTAGCGATTAAAAACTCTTCCACATTATTACTACTTGATTCTAAATTTAACTAATAAAACAATCAAAGAAAGATATATTTTCCGTGTATAAGATAATTATACGACTAGCAGCTATTAGGTCCTGAGAAAACAAGTCACTGTCAGACCTCATCTTCAAAAGATCTCATATTTCAACTACCCCTTATATCTAATATCAATGAAAAAAGTTCTAACCCGTTAATCAACTCAGATTAGACAGGGAAATAGAACAAAATTTTTCTTTTTTTTTTTTTGAGTTGGAGTCTCTCTGTCGCCCAGACTGGAGTGCAGTGGCCGCTCCCGGCCACCGCAGCCTCGACCTGCTGGGTTCTGGCGATCCTTCCGCCTCAGCCTTCCAATTAGCTGGAACTACAGGCGTGCGCTACCATGCCCGGCTAATTTTTGATTTATTGTAGAGATGAGGTCTCGCCAAGTTGCCCAGGCGGGTCTCGAATCTGCCGGCTCAGGCAATCCACTCACCTCAGCCTCCCAAAGGCGCAGGATTACAGGCTGAGCCACCGAGCCCGGCTACAAAATTTTTCTTAAAGGAGACATCACCAACACTCTTAACTCCTAAGAAAGTCTTTTATGCTTAGCAAAAGTAAAGACTATCAAGTTATCAATTTCTACTTTTTAAATAATTCTTTATTGGGGTAAATTAATCTGCTCTTCTGTTTTTGTCATTCTCTTTTGTGAGATGAGGATCACTTCTAAATAGCCACCATTCCTTTTGCAAAGCTGCCTAAAATAGCTATGTTCTAAGTTGCTCACTCGCTGTTTCTCATCGCTTTCTCTTATTTTCTCATCATTCCAGATTTTTGAAGAAATCCTCACTATAATTCTGCCAAAGTCCTTTTGTGTAGCCCACCAATTCTGCATGCGATGCTATAATGAAAATTAAAAGTAATGTTAGCTATTGCCATTGAGGATTTTAATTACTTTAGGTTTAGAATCCTATATGAATTGGTTATTTAACTGCGATAATAAAAAGAAAAAGGGATTCTGACATCTATCCCAATGATAAAAATGTAGCTCTATACCACAGATGCCAAGCAAGCTGACTTCCTGTTTAGCATCGATAATTCTCTAGCTCAATGCTTCCTAAGTTAACTCACTATCTGCTTTCCTTGTTTCTTCAACATTTCAAGGTCCATCCTCTTACTACAAAGTGTTTTGCCAATTAAAAATTCTACAAAGCTGGGCTCAGTGGCTCAGCCTGTAATCTCGCGCCCTTGGGAGGCTGAGGTGAGTGGATTGCCTGAGCCCGCGGGTTCGAGACCCGCCTGGGCAGCGAGACCTCATCTCTACAATAAATCAAAAAATCAGCTGGGCGTGGTAGCGCATGCCTGTAATTCCGGCTACTTAGAAGGCTGAAGCGGAAGGATCGCCAGAGCCCAGCAGGTGGAAGCTGTGGTGGCCAGGAGCGGCCACTGCACTCCAGTCTGGGTGACAGAGTGAGACTCCAACACACACACACAAAAATCTACAAAAAGGTAATAAGAATTAGATTTTTTACAATGCACACTATTTAGTATTTCTTCATAATAACATAAAAGGAATATATACCAACAAGAGTTCTAAATATAAAATTCAGCTTTACTGAAACATAAAATGTATACACCAATAAGAGTTCTAAATATAAAATTCAGCTTTACTGAATTTATACATACACACACACACACACACGACATATATACCTATTGCAAGACATAAGAAATCACGACCTGGGTTACTGGGAAACTGGTTTTCTCTGTTGGAATCCTTTAAATAAAAGATTGACTTCCTTAGTATCCTTAGTCTTGATTAGCTTAACACCAGGACTCTAATATTTTACATATGAGCATGTGTATTGACTCCTGTTGATTAAAGTAACAGAGAGAGTGCCACTGACAGGCTGCATGTATTTAAGACACATACTTTGGGCCTGGTGTCCACGACGTACATGGAATGATTGACTGGGTTGGCTTTACTGATGGCTTGAAGCAAATGTTCATCCTCCAGGCACCTGGCACTGAATCCTGACAGTGGCTGACTACACCGACAAATGGCAGCCTAGTTTTGAAAAGACAGGAAACAGATTATGCGAAGATCTCCAAAATGTGTCTTTTAAAACACTTAAAAGAAAAAAACCCAAAAGTGTTCAAATCAAATATGACAATTAGAAGACATTAACTTTGAAGTTCTCTTTTAATTAAATACTATTTCAATATTTTGATGTTCCCTAAGTTTTTCCAATATTCTCTTCTCCTAAGAACACGAAATGCTTCCTTATCTAGTTTGATGAAAAGAAGTTAGGTCCTAAGAAGCAACACCCAGTAGATTCTTGATTAAGTAACCTCCTGTAGAGAAAGCTGCATTCTGCTCTACTTAGATGACAGGACACTTTCCAGTGAAGTTCACGTAAGGATTAGTCCATACATACAAAACAGGAATTGTTAAGTAGTAACATTTGAACTCTGACTTTCTGAGAGCTGTCAGATTTCTAATTAGAAAGTGGCAATCTTCATATAAAATGAGACATGAGAAAACAAGCTCCAATTCAAATATGGGTTAAAACATAGTCTAAGAAAGCAAGAATTATCTACTGTAAGGACCTAAGAAGATTAAAAAACAGATGTAGATTTTTTTCTCCAATGGGAATTTCTCCAATGAATTTTCTCCAATGAATTTCTACATGTAAATTCACACATTTGCATATTTTACATTTAGACCCCAGGCAGTCCTATTTGACCTTTGAACTCACAAGGACTTCCTTTTTCCTCTTCTGGGGACACTGTCTAAAGGCACTCAGATGGTCAGCGTTTAATAGACCATTGTAGGCTTTCCTACAATACAGCCTCTAATAAAACCAGGTTGTCCTGAATCCCTGGTGATAGAATTGCTTACCTACATACCAAGAAGGCTGGAAAAGCAGTAAAGTCTGCATGTGGTGTGTGCCCAGGTAGACTTTGAGGGGTTTGTGCTGTGAGACCTAAAGTTCTTGTGAGATTGTCCAAAACCAAAAAAAAAAAAAAAAAAAACAAACAAACCACATCAGCAGGGCCTATGGTGGTTCCATGTATGCAAAACGTGTTTGTGACAGGATCAGGTGTGCTTTCTTTATCGAGGAGCAGAAAATTGTTGTGAAAGTGTGTAAGACATAAGCACAGAGTCAGGAAGCAAAATAAAGAAATGAAGCTTTTTTCCCAGCAATAAAAATTAAGACTTAAAACCATGAATTTTTTTTCTCATTTTTACTTTAGATTCAGGGGGTACACATACATGTTGGTTACATGGTCCTACTGTGTCTATTGTGTCGCACTAGGAATTGGGTCTCAGGTGGCCCATTCCCCGGATAGTGAACATTGTGCCCCACAGGTAATTTCGGAACCCCAACACCCCTTCTTCACCTCCCCCTTTTTTGGTATCCCCAGTGCCTGTTATTCTATCTTTGTGACCATTTAAGCTTCCATATGTGAGTAAGTAAAACCATGAAAATTTAATAGAATAGAAGACAATGAGGACGGCCTTATTAAATTCTTTTCAGGCGAACTTCCTGGTTTCTGCTGAGTTGGGCACCCAGTCTATTTCAGCCCAGGATTCTGACAAGCAATGTACACAAACATGGGTGTGTCAGCAGAGGCCGCACCAGGTAACCTCCCTATGACTCAATTGTGAAAAGCAGATTAGAAATTTTCTTTCAAACTCTTACCTCCGCTCCTTTTCAAAACAAGAGTCTAACAAGAAAAGTTGCAATGGGTATCTAACAAGAAAGTGTCAACATATAAAGCCACAAGGACACAGAAGGGGAGAAGAGAGGAGAGAGATGCCAATGAAACTTGGGGAAATGACAGGAGACAGCAGGGCAGAGAAAGCTGTCAACTCTGCTGGGTCAAAGAAGCAAGGTCTCTGCGCAGCAAAACCCCAGAGGCCCAGAACTGGTACTTCCGAAGGCCTGGGCAGGGAATGACTGAAAACAGAACTGAATGCCTGCATCAGGACTCGCTAAGACTCACGTCCTCCCTCGCCTGGAGGACAAAGTTTACTCTGTGAAGAGGATGGACCTGAAGACACAGCTGTGGGTATGGTGAAGCCTATACTCCCCCAAATTAGGAGCATTAGGTTGGACCCACGTAACGATGCGAGATCCTCCCCTCCGTCTTCTCACACCTGGATCATGGCCAGACTTACTATACACACTGGGACCACAACTGAAGGAGTCTTGTGCAAGTAAACCAACTCCCACAACAGAAGAAATCTGAAGCTGTAATTCACTCGTACACACAAACCTCTAAGCAGCATTCACAGAAGCCAGTCATGGAATCAGGCACTGGGAGGACGGGCATGATAAAAACTGTAATTAACAGAAGAAACGGGACTCTGAGCCAAAGGAGAACTAAGTGGGTGACGCCTGAGAATTCTTTTCTCAAGACCTTTAATATTCTCAGGAACTGAAACATCACGTCCAAGGGCAGAAAACTATCTAAAAAATTTCAGAAAATAACGAAGAGCTCTTGGATATTAAAAACACTACGACAAAAATAAAAGATCCAAAAACACAGACTGGAGATAAGGTTGAGGAAATCATCCAGAAAACAGAAAGGGATGAAAAACAGAGGAGAAAAATTTTTTTAAAAAGTAAGAGGTTCAGGCCGGGCCCAGTGGCTCAGCCTGTAATCCCGGGTTTTGGGAGGCTGAGGTGAGTGAATTGCCTGAGCCCGTGGGTTCGAGACCTGCCTGGGCAACTTGGCGAGACCTCATCTCTACAATAAAATAAAAAATTAGCCAGGTGTGGTAGCGTACACCTGTAGTTCCAGCTACTTGGAAGGCTGAGGCGGAAGGATTGCCGGAGCCTAGCGGGTTGAGGCTGTGGTGGCCAGGAGCGGCCACTGTACTCCAGTCTGGGCGACGGAATGAGATTCCAACTCAAAAATAAATAAATAAATAAAATAAAAAGTTCAAAGAAAATTAACAGAAGAGAGGAAGTTACCAAAGAAATAAAGAAGCAATTCCCGAAACTGAGACCCAAATTTCTAGATAGAATTTAAAAAGACATGCCAAGGCATATCACTGTGAAATTTCAGAACACTGGGGTTGAAGAAGATTCTAAAAGCTCTCAAAGAAAAAGATTCAGGCCACCATAATCTGGAAGTGAGAAATGGCATATAATTCCTCCACTTGCTTGCTGTAGTGTACAGGGAAAGTGACTTGCCCTCTCTGAAAGTTACCGGTAGCCAGTGAAGCCAAGCTCTGCCTTGCAAAGCCTGAAGACGCACACAAAGCAGGCACCCGCAGGCTGCAAAGCCAAGTGCTGCTGTGGCAGGCAGCCTCCCCGCAGCATCGCCCTCTAAGCTGCCTCCCCAGCTGGCAGACCCTGACCTGGGCTCCTGTTAACGTGGGAGCCCAACAGGCCCTCGGTTCTCTCCCTTCTCTCAACAGGCATCCTATCAAAACGATCTGCTTTCCTCAAACACAAGCAGGATGAGATGAGAACCACAGGAATGGAAGAAGAACCCATCTGTTCACTAATCACATAGCTTCCAAGTCACGACTGGAAGGAAGGGACAGGAAAAGACAAGAAGTATTAAAATTTCAGTATTTCAGTACAGTTTTGTTATAAAATCTCAAAAACGTAATTAAACCAAAAGTTAGCACTTCTCTATGCATAACCTTTTAATGTAAAAAAGAGCGTTCTTTTAGTGACTTGGACCTGAAGAGGAGTCAACGTCACACTGATCAAACCAGAAGGCACGCCTCCTACCTCCGTGTCCTGATGATAGTAGGAGAGAGCCGGGAACCGCCCCTTGCTTCGGAACTTGGAGCTGCCAACAATCACTGGCTTGCTTGCTGCCCGGGGGACGTACAGTTCTCTGGGATACGTGTCACAGACCTATAAATACCAAGAAAAACACGTCCACTCTCCTGACAGTTCAGAACCCCTTTAGAAACCTTTAGCTGTACTCATTCCGGAACCCACACGACAGGACCCAGATACACACGACCCTGCTCAACCCCTGGCACCGACATGCTCTGCGTCTCTCGAGGGCAGTGGGTACCTTGTACTCCCGGTTGGCGTCTGACAGCTGCCAGTGTGCGTTGGGCACTCCCATGCGCTCATACTCCTTGGCCAGGTCAACGAGCTGCCAGCCCTGCAGTCGCTCAGAATCATTTTGTTTGGGATTGTAAGAAAATGCATAGAGGTCTTCGTATTTTGCTACAGAATATAAAATTTAAAATGTTAAAATGCAAGTTATAAGATTTAATACACTACAAATAAAAGTATTTTTTCAGGTTTTTTCCCTCATCTTCTCTCCCAAATCTTCAAAGAGACGGCCGGTGCCTGAAAATACTTGAACTTGATGTTTTCTAAGTTCTTTTATGCAAATGACTATACCTCAAGACACACACATCCGAGATTCAATTTATGTCATCAGCAAAGATTAAGCTAATAAATAACACAGTGAGACTTCTATAGTAAATCCTCTATGGCAAGATTTCTTTTTCTTAAAAGTAAAATTTTAAAGACACAAATAGACATTTCCTACTCAGCACTTTTCCCAAATGAGATGTAAAGTGGAAAAACTGCTGCAATGAAAAGCTTGGGGCAGCACATAGAACACAATGCCACATTGGAGGCTCCTGCTGAACCGTGCTGATCAAGATGGCAACTGCCGCCCAGAGCTCAGGGGAGCACCTGCTTCTGAACAAGGGCTGGCCCTGGAGTCACAGAGCCACTGTTACTACAAGCTCTAGCTTCCCTTGGGACAGCAGGATGGCACAGGTTTCATGTGGGGAGGAGAGTAACAGAACCCGCTCCTAGGTCACACACATAGAATGCAACCCTGGCCAGTCAATATGCAATCAGGGCCTGCTGGGGAGAGTGCCAGACCCAGAGGAGCAGTGACAGGCTCCTGCTTAGGGTCCCCGTCCTGCTCAACCACCTCTACCAAGACGGGCCTCTCCTTCGTGCCCTGAGCTCCCCTTCTACGTGGTCCACCCCAATCTATCATATACCTCAGTCCCCCTGCTACCAGAGGACCGAGACCTTCCTTAACTTTCCTTTTAGTAATATCCATTTCCAAGTCACTCTCCTTGCTTGTGATGTATCCACTTTACAAAAATGTTGTGCTCCTCATCGATAGCCTTTTAAAACACGGACATAAGCCTCAGGTGCTGAGTCTCTACTGTAACCCTTTTCCTTCTTCCTTTCTACGACTCCTTTGGACACCATTCTTACAATTCAGATCAGCAGTTTCTTATTCTTTCTAGGCCATTTTGGGGGGAAGAGCATGCACAAGACTGACTGTCAGAGCAACCTGAAGTATAAAGTAACAACACTGAGATCTGAAATAAAGTCTCTTGAACAACCCATCTCAAATAGAGCATGTGCCCTTTGGTCACTAAAAACAATACCTTGTTTTGACAGTTGCAGCAAAGAGTTGTAAATATCATGACAATCTCTCTCTCTGGGAACAATGAAATGTACAATTCGGAAGTTCTTGCACTGAATCACGAGTGGACATCCAGAAGTAGTCAGAGCAAGCTTCTCTACCGAGGCAATGTGGTGGTGTAATATCTACAAGCATGAAGAACATTCGGGTCATCAATCCAGAGAGCATGAAACGCAGCCATTAAAAAAAGAATGAAATTGTGTCCTCTGCAGCCACATGGATGGAGCTGGAGATCAAGATCCTATGTCGACTGACTCAGAAACAGAAAACTAAACACTCCATGTCCTCACTCCAATGGTGGGAGCTAAATAGTCACAGATGGAAATTAAACAGACGGTGGGGACACCAGTAAGGAGGGAGGGATGAAGGGGCTAGGGCTCCAAAACTACCTACGGGGCACAATGCTCACCATCTGGCGAATGGGCCACCTGAGACCCAATCCCCACCACTACACAATATGACCATGTAACTAATACACATATGCACTCCCTGAATCCAAAATTTTTTTTAAAAAGTAGCATGGTGCTAAATACCTAGTAGGCACCCCTGCCCCCCCAAAAGGCAAAGTGACTGATAAAAAAAGAAAGCATGAAATATTTGTTCTCCAAATTAGGAATCCACTCCTCAAATAAAGTGCATCAACATTAGGAGTCCACTCCTCAAATAAAGTACCAGTGTCCTGTACTCCTCACTTGAACTTCACACTCACACAGGGCTGGATGCCCAAGACGGGAACGTGGGCGTCCCTCCGGTCCTTCCTCCATCCCTCCACTCACTCATCAGACCCCGAGCCCTTCACCTCCTGCCCCCATGCGGCCTGTCTACTCCGCTCCACCCCTGCAGCCACCTCCCCAGCTGCGATGTCCCACTCTTCTCACCTGAACTGCTATAAACAAGTGGCCTCCTAGGTGCTCTCTCCACATCCACTCTCGACCTCTCTGTTCCATTTTCTAGGACCGTACACAGAGGCCATCTGGTCACTTTTGACTTACCCGACCGCACCTCGAGTCCCTCCCCATCACGGGCTGGTGGCAGTGGCACAGTCTCCTTTGGGCTCGAGGTGCCGCGCTCTTGACACATGCTGAGACACTCCCACTGAGTGCGAGGCATAGCTCTGGCTCTTCCCTAGGAATGTCTAGTCATGCTTCTGGCCTTTGCTTGAGACTCCATGTCACCGAGCAGTAGAGCCTGGCATGCCTCAACCCTCCCTAGCAAGTCAGGCCCTGCCACCTTCTTACTGCACAGCCACACCCATGGTTCCTCCACAGCACTTGCTACCACAAATCAGCGATGTGGCCGATGTCTGTCTCTCCAGCTAGGCTGTAAATCACAAGGAGTAAGACTAGAGCTCAGCTGATCAACATCACACCTCTAGCACCTCACGCGGTACCCGAAAGAGACTTGCCCTCCTCAAATCCAAACACTGGCAAATGTTCCATATTACACATTCAGCCTTAATTTTATTTCTTTCTTTCTTTTTTGGGCGGGGGGAGCAGGATTTATTGAGAGGACAGAAAAGCTCCCACAGCGGGAGGGGACTTAAAGGGGTTGCCCCAGTGTTAATTTTCTAAATGACTGAATGCCCAAGCCAGAAATACAGATGCCATCCCTGTTACCTCCTCCACCACAATAAATGTCTACTGAATGAATAAATGAAAAGTCCTACTATAAAATCAGCCGGGTGTGGTAGGGCGCGCCTGCAATTCCGGCTACTGGGAAGGCTGAGGCGGAAGGATCGGGGGAGCCCAGCAGGCGAGGCTGCGGTGGCCGGGAGCGGCCACTGCACTCCAGTCTGGGCAGCCGAGTGAGACTTCAACTCAAAAAATCATCATCATCATCATCATCATCATCATCATCATCATCAAGAAAAGCTTGGGAAAAAAACTTACCGATGGAATTTAACTATATAGCACAGATAATTAATATACACACATATGTAGCCCATTCCTAGCTAACATTTAGTATCATTATCATTTATATCAGTGGGCCTGTGACAAGTTACTCAAAATGATCTAACAGTAACATCTAAATAGAGAATAAGGAACAAGCTAACTGTACTATTACAGGCTGACTATCCTTTATCCAAAATGCCTGGGACTAGAAGTGTTTCACATTTTGGGTTTTTTCAGATTGTGGATTATTTACATTATCCTTACTGAGCATCCCTAAACTGAAAATCTGAAATCTGATCTGCCCCTATGAGTTTAAACATCACGTCAGTGCTCAAAAAGTTTCAGACTTTTGGATGAAGAATGCTCAACCTGTTATCACTGTTAGGATTCTAATGAAGACCCCAAATCATTTGCATGAAAAAACGATGAGGGGATTCAGCTCCACCCCTAACTAGTTATGTGATCTTGAAAACAAAAAATCATTTGCAAAACAAGAAAAAAGTTGGCAAAGCCCCTCTGGGTCTGAAATGTCCACTCCTATGGATCTGGAGTACTGCACAGACTTCATCTGGGAGAGACGTGGGAATCAACTGACCAGAATCAGTTAAGGACGACAATGGGAGAGATGGGGACAGTACGGTATCTTTCTGCTGCCCCTCAAATGCATTCTTAGCAGCTGAAGGAATCCACAATCTGGGAAACCTTCCTGTGTGTCTCCAGGAGATGAAAAACAACAGAGAAACACTGAGGCAGGTGGACAAAGGAAGGTCGAGGGAACGGATGAGAACACAGCTATGGATGTCAGAAGGTGCTGCCAGGTCAGACTCCCAGCAGGTCCTGGCAAGCACTGGGTGGGGAAGGGAGCCAGGGCCTAGGGAGCACCAGATCTCCAAGATCAGCATCTCAGGAGAGCACCTCAACTTACTTGCTGCAATCACATATCAACCGGTCGCCTTCCTGGGGAAATCAAAAGAGGTAGTCAAAGAGAGAAAGGAAGGCAGCTTGGGCTCCCAGGGGTGTGCCATGGGGCAATGGGGTTTCCTAGGCCAGGAGGTACCACTAACCCGTCATCTTGGCTCCACTGCTTAGAAGAACAGCACGAGCAGTTGGGACATACGGAGTCACTGCTGTGCCCTCCATATCTTCTGTCTCCTGAGATTCACAAGAGTCCTACATGATGGCTGATACCACATACCCCATGTGCGTAGGCACGAGTGCAACAGTTACACACTTTTGGGCCATCACTGTCGGTCCAAGGTCCCCTCCACTGTCCTCACTTGCAGCACCCATTTCCCTCAAGAGACCAACGGGGCCAAGAACCTGCATTTTTTACTGCCTGTTTTCCAGCAGTCAGCTGTTAAGGAAGGTCAGCGGGAAGATTTCTGGGAAAGTCCCTCCTCTCTGATAAGGGAGAGGAACAGTGAGGAGCCACCCCCTCCTGTCTTGGGATGCCAGACAGCCTTTCAGCCAGAAACTGGTTTACTCACAGCTGAAAGCACTGACACAATCACCCAGCAGGCAGCAGCAGAGCTGGTGTCTGAACTCAAGCACCCTGACAGCAGCCTAGGCTCGCTTTACTCCACAGCACTGCCGGTGTGACACCAAGCAAACCTCCTCCCTGGGCTCTAACTTCTAGAGAATGGAGGTTCTACAGCCTGGCATGGCTGGTGGCAGAAGCACGTCCAGTCTCTTCCTCTCAAGCCACAGACACCAACCCCACATTCTACCCGCTTCTACTACTTTTCCTTTCAGTACTTACCACTGTGTGTTTTACCTAACTGTCCTATTTATTTTCATAATGTGGACCCCATGAGGACAGCATCTGTATCTATTGTTGGCTATTGTTTCCAAAACATCTACAACAGTGATAAACACACAAAGGTGCTCAAGTGACTAAGTAAGTGAATGAACTCCAAGACACAAAGGGAAGACAGAGAGCCCATAACAGCCACGGCAATTTTGAAGAACAAGTTGGGAGAATTTGCTCTACTAGAGATCAAAACTTATTAAACAGTCAGTAAAGCAGTGTGGTCAATACACCAAAGAACAGAGCAGAGAGCTGAAAAGCAGCCCCTCCTGCATGGGAGCTTTGTTTCTGATGGAGCTGGTACTAGGGATTCAAGGAGTAAAACCATCAATATGGTGCTGGTTGCCTGTACGAGAAAATAACATCGAATCCCTACGTCCTATCATACACCAAAGGCTTCCTGGGTATGTTAACTCACATGGGAAGGGCACAACTTAAGCTCTTAGAAGACAATATGAGAATCTTTATGAGTTTCACATAGGAAAGGTTTTCTTAAGTCACAAAAGAGCATAAAGTAGAAAAGAAAAAAACGTTAAAAATCTGTAACATTGCCGGGCTTGGTGGCTCAGCCTGTAATCCCACACCTTGGGAGGCTGAGGTGAGTGGATCGCATGAACCCGCGGGTTCAAGACCCACCTGGGCAACTTGGTGAGACCACATCTCTACAATAAATCAAAAAATCAGCCGGGCGTGGTAGTGCATGCCTGTAATTCCGGCTACTCAGAAGGCTGAGGCGGAAGGATCGCCGGAGCCCAGCAGGTCGAGGCTGCCTGGGAGTGGCCACTGCACTCCAGTCTGGGTGACAGAGTGAGACTCCAACTCAAAAAAAAAAAAATCTGTAACATTAAAATTAAACTTTAATTAAAAGACATGTATATTCAAAAACACACAAAGACAAGTCTTACACTGGGAAAAGCTACCTATGACACACATAACTGACAAAGCCTTAAAACCTAGAACTCTTATAAGCTCAATAAAAGACAAACAACCCAACAGGAAAAGAAAAGGAAAGCCAAATGCTAAAATATCTGGAAAGATAACATCTTTGTAATCAGAGAATTAACATTACAATTATAGGCAAAAATGTTTAAGTTGACAACACCACTGGTGCTGAGAAGACAGAACAATATGTAACACTCTAATGGGGAGAATAAACTGGAACAACTGTTGTGAAGAGGTGACACACTTAGTAAGGTTAAACAGGTACTGATTCAAGACCCAGAAATTCTACTCCCAGGCAAATATCTCAGAGAAACTCTGGCACACATACAGAAATATATCCAAGATGCCTTCATAGATACATGCTCAAGGATACTTTAGTACATATAGCCAAGTATACTGGGAAATGTATATGTATGTCTTGTATACATTTTGTGTATGTCTTATATACACAAAATGTTTGCATACATACATGTATACTGCAACTTTTATACTCGTAAAAAAATAAACATCTTAATTGCAATTTGGTATAAAAATACTGTAGGAGATACCAAACTATCCATTTGATCTATTTACATGTACAAATATTTTTTAGATTTCTAAAAATTAAAAGGAACAATAGGTAACTTATAATAATTATTTATAGAAATATGGAGTCTGGTGTTCTACAGAAGAATTCCACATGACTCACGATATCACTGACTTATTAAAGGGAAGCAAGAAGTGGTCTAGTGACTGAAAGATGTTTGGTTGAGACTAAGCAACTAGTGACTGAAAACTCTGTTTTCATGCTCAAAACAAAGAGTGACAGACCAAGACCACAATGAGCCTCATTACTATTGCCATGATAACCAGCTCAGCTGAGTCCTCCTCACCCAGGTTTCCTTCTGATGGGAGTCTATGAAAAGCAGGTGTGTGGCCGTCAGGTACAGTGTTCCCGTTAAGGACTTGTTGTTGGTACTGAATCGGTCAAGTAATTTTACTTGTTCAACCTAAAAGAAAAAAAAGACATAATTTCTCACTTCAAAAGCAATAGAAATACTCTTCCTGTTGTTCCAGGACTCACACGCACCACTTTTCAATTTTTCTTCCTTCTTCTCTGTGTATCTTTTTGGGGACCATCTAAGTCACGAACAAGGTAGGGATTCCTTACAGCTATACACAGGCCCAGTGGAGATGCATGCTGTCAAGAGCAGCAGCACATGCAGAGGGGTGAGGGACAGTGGTGTCACACTGGGAAGCAAGACATCGATCCAAGCCGGCCATCTAAAGTGGGAGGGCAGGCTGGGCACGAATGAGCCTACTCTCCAACATTCTAGAAGCGCCTGCCAGGAACAGTAAGGCAGGTGGCAGTGACTTGGCTGCCAAGCCCCACCTAGCCATATCTTCTCCCCTATCATGCCACAACAGGGACGCTCGTGCCAGGCTCTGGGCCTTCCTCACACTGCCTCCCCCACAAGGTCGCTTCTCCCCACTTCTGTGCCAGGCATGCTTCTGAGCTGCCGACACCCACCCCCAACCTGAGACCTTAGAAAACCAACCCCTTACTCATGCCTGGGCATGTGCTCCTTTGCAGCCCTGAGTTCCCTGGGCCAGATGGGGTGTTCTCCAGGGCCTGAGGCAGCGAGGCACCCAGCAGTCTTTATTAACACTTGTACACACACACACACACACACACACACGCAGTCTTTCTTAACACTTGTGCACACACACACACACACACACACACAGACGGCTGCCGCTGGAGTGGAGAATGGGGTTAGAGTTGGCCCGGAATGTGCAGGAGACTACTGTGGTGAAATTTAGTGTTATTCACCCTTATGGGGAAAAAAAGTAACATAACCACCTTACAGATGGCAGCAGCAGGCTGTGGAGAATTCTTTATGTTGCCTCTGTCTCCAAAACCATCTAACTAGCCAACCATCTTCTCATTAATTCTATACTTTTATCCCATATGTATTTTCCTTTTATTGCTAATTGAAGAACATAATGTCCCTGCTGTGAAGTTGTTTCCAACATGACCAGTCACCAGCATTTCCAAGGTTGAGCAGCTTCTCCCTCCCTTCCCACTCCCATAAACTTACTTCCATGGAGAATTTGTGCTTATAACACTTGTTCTAATGAGTTAAAATTTAAACTTAAAATCTAAAAATTTGTTTTTGACACAAAGCTTTATTTGAACCAGTAAGACAATGAATTCCGTTTCAGCACTTTCCTGTGGAGACTCGGAGATATGATCTAATTTAACTGTCTGGTCATCACACACTGTCCCTTAAGACAACAGGAAGACTTCCTGCTGGGAACCCTGAAGAAAGTTTTCTCTTGGAGGCCAACAGTTATTTCACTGCTTAGGATCATTTCTTCCTCAAATAAGAATCTAGCTTCAGCCTGGCTCGGTGGCTCAGCCTGTAATCCCATGCTTTGGGAGGCTGAGGTGAGTGGATTGCCTGAGCCCGCGGGTTCGAGACCCGCCTGGGCAACTTGGCGAGACCTCATCTCTACAATAAAATTTTTTTTTAAAAATTAGCAGGGCGTGGTAGCGCATGCCTGTAATTCCGGTTACTTGGAAGGCTGAGGCGGAAGGATCGCCGGAGCCCAGCAGGTCGAGGCTGTGGTGGCTGGGAGCGGCCACTGCACTCCAGTCTGGGCGACAGAGTCACTCCAACTCAAAAAAAAAAAAAAGAATCTAACTTCATGATACCACACACAGCAAATCAAAACTCAAACCCCTTTTAAGACAAATGGGTTCACTACTGTTCCCCCCTTCCTTGTGCTAGACTTGGCTGGAGAGGACATTACTGCATGACAGCAATGACCACAACACAGATCTCACCTATCTTGTTTTCTAAAGCAATAAAACAAAGTCATAAAGGTTCTAACACAAAGACAATTAATGAATATATACGGCAACAAAGGCTATCATTAATTAGCAACATTCCTCAAGGTAACAATTTGTGTCAACAGTGTTTTATAGTGCTTCAAATAGCTACTCAGAGAAAATAAAAGCATATATTGGCAAGTAGTTTAAAGGGGGGTTGTTTTATTATTATGTATTTTATTAAATACGAAGTTTTAAAAACAAGTCCATGTGAAGCTGGAGAGCAGTGGCACGCTCACGGCCACCGCAGCCTCAACCTGCTGGGCTCAGATGATCCTTCCGCCTCAGTCTTCCAAGTAGCTGGAACCACAGGCACGTACCACCACATCTGGCTAATTTTTTTTTATTTATCGTAGAGATGATATCTCACCAAGTCGCCTAGGCTGGTGTCGAACCCCTGGACTCAGGCAATCCTCTCCCCTCGGCCTCTCAAAGTGCTGGGATTACAAGCTTGAGCCACTGCGTCCAGCCAAACATGTGGATCTTTAAGAGATCGTGAGTATTCCTGGTTATGGTCACTCCTAAGACCTAAGCCGTAATTTCTCTACCAGGCACAATGATCTACAAAGCTTGGCTGTGTGGAAACAGTCCCAGCCCCTTCCCTGCGGATTTGCCTCTCTCGTCTAGGCTGTGCCGCTACTGCTCTTCCCCAGAGGTCTCTTCTGCATAAGAACTTCCTCCTGCCATGGTTTCAGCCTGTGTGCTAACGACAACCACAGCTCGCCTCCGCTGTGATCTCTTCCACCTGCTCTGTTTGGCCAGCTACACACAAGAGGCAAGCCCTCGCTCTTTATCTGATTCATCCCCAGAACTCTGCAAAAGCACCAACCCAAGCCTCATCTCCACTCTGCCATCCAAGGAACCAGAGACCAAGATCTGCAGGTTTCGGAGGCTCACCTGCTCAACCCTCCCAAGTGACAGCCCTCTCCCTCCTGACTTACATGAGGTCCCCCCATCTCTGCCTTTAGGATCTTTTCCTAAACATCTCAGGCCTTCTTTAAAGGAGTAGACTGTGACTCTGACCTTTTAAAATACTCTACTATACTGCATGCACACACACACTCAAACACACGCATCTTTGAAGAACTTGCAGATAAATACACAATATCAGGAAGGAGCTGGCCAGTCTGTCAGCATCTCATTTCTTTGTCTCTAAAATAAGGACAGGAGCTATGGGAAGACTGGATAATAAACTGCAGGAACTGTGCCCATTTGCGATAAACATTAGCAATAAAGTGCTCAACTACACGTTTGCAAAAATGACTATAAGTGGTAACTGGATAAGGAAGGTTGGGCCTTGACAGGCCTCTATGTCAAGCTACTGTCCAGTTAGACTCAAATAGAGAAAGAAAGAAGGATGTCTATGGAGTCTATGAAGCAAGTTCAATAGTCTAACATGACCTGTAGCTGGACAAAACTACTGTTTTTCTGATACAAATGCTGGAAGCAAAGAACAAAATTTTCCTTATGAATGGGAATGGAGAGAAAATACAGAATTCTCAACAGAGGAGATGTAGCATTTACATCTCAACAGAGGAGGCATAACATTTTATCTGATGAAAAAAACACACATCAGAGGATCTAGATAAATAAAACACACAAATAGAGGTTCTGATGCGCAGAAATCCATGACAAGACCCAGCTTTTAAGACTGTTCCAGAGTCTGTGTGAGCAAAGGCTGGGCAGGGTAAGGGTCACCCGGCAAGAGGCTAAGGACATGTCTGCGATGACTGCAGAGACAGCCGGTCTCAAGCAAACTGCAACAGACCAGAAGGCACCTTGAGACAGTAGCACAACTGGTGAGAGAAGGAAGAAAGAGGAGAAGGTTTCTTCCCTCCTTTATTTTCTTCTTTTCTGGTTCTTAAGGATTTTAAGTGAATGCCAGCTGCCATTCACTAAGATAGGGTATAGATAGGGGACAGAGAAGAAAAAGTCTGAAAAAAAGAAAAGTGCATCCTGAATAGAATAAATTGAGGATTATTCATTACCTTAGCAAATGCAAGCATATGCCAATCAAGGAAATATAATAGCAGAAAATATTATATATAACTGCTTCAACAGGACAATCTACATAAACAAGACAGTGAGATTAACCTGAAATTACTTCAAAACATCTATTTAGTACTTAAAGTTCTGGAGAAAGAAAATTTCTGAAAAAATACACGGATTATTCTGTTCTTTGTGACAAAAAAAGGAACGAGAACCTTTTTTACTTTGTTAAAAACACTGGCATACAAATTCCAAGCCACAGCCCTCCTCGACTTCTGGAAACCAACAGCTGCCTTTGCACTTCCCCTTCACCAAGGAAGCAGAAGTGCTTTCCAGATGCGGCTGTAGGTCTTCCACGTGTTTTCTTGGAAACGTTTGAAGTCAGATGTTGAGAAGCAGTTCGAGTCTTCCAAGTCTCTAGCTCTGAGGCCCTACAGAATCGTGTAGGGTACTTAAATTGTCGGTGATGTCACAGGCAGAAGGTCAGTGGCCTCTTCCGGTGTTAAGCCACCCCTGAGCTCCTCCCTCACCCACCCCACTGACTGCTTGAATCTCTTGATTACATCACTGTTCTGTGAGGCAGGAGCATGCCGGGTTAAGAGGCCTGGTGTCTGAACACCCGCGGTTCAAGCTCCCAGCGCCACCTGGTCCTTGCCTGAGCTAGCTGCATAAGCCAGGACAAGTTATTTTATTTAATCTATGCAGGCCTCAGCTTCCTCACCTGTAAAATGGAGCTAATGTGAGTGACAATCAACACAGCATTTGACATGGAAAGAAATGTCCAGGTGCTCCTTCAAGCCTACTGGCTGTTAACCCAAAAGCAAGTGAAATGCTATCAGCTTCCAAATCATAATAACATTGGTCATCCTTCGCTTTACACCACCTTCTCCTTTGTAGCAGACAGCATGTGTCTGCACACATTCAAGCATGGTCTCACATCCTAATGACAGAAGGGAGCAGAGGCTCAAGAACAAGTCCGGCAGGTGTGGTGGCTCACACCTGTCATCCCAGCACTTTAGGAGGTGGAGGCGAGAGGATTTCCTGAGCCCAGGGGTTCCAGATCAGCCTGGGCAATATGGTGAGACCTCATCTCTACATTAAATCAAAACATTAGCTGGGCATGGT